GGGGCCCAGGTTTGCCCCCCCCACACACTCCTTCAGACCCTAGGGTCTCCTGCTCCACCACCACGTTTTCTGATGCTTAGGCAACCCCCCAAAATCCTTAGAGGTTCCCCCCCAGTTCCTGTAGAATTTGAGATGCCCCAAATCACCCAGGTCCCAAGGGTGCCCAGGATCCCCCCCCAAATCCTCAGGGGTATGCCCCCAGAATCCTTCAGAGCTCCAAGGTGCCTCCCCAAATCCTCCCAGATGCCCCCCAGTCCTCCTGGGCCTGGGATGCCTCCCCCCCCCAAAATGCTTAGGGATACCCCCCAAGATCCTCCACAGCCCAGGAGTGCCCCCACCTCCCACATCCTGCCCCATAGGTTGTCCCAGGGTGCGCCCCTCCCCTGCCTGGTATCCTGGTGGCGTCCCTCCCACCTCCTTGGCCTGTCCCCTCTCGGGGACCTGGGGTGCACCTTCTGCTCCCCAAATCCTGTCCCCTAGGGTGCCCTGGGGGGGACAAGTCCCTCCCTAGATTATCTCCCGCAGGGTTTCTGGGGGGCTGCACAGGAGCTGCGGTGGGGAAGGGGTCTCCGGCCTTTTTGCTTACATTTTGGGATCACGGGGATCACCGTGGGAATGCATGGCTTTGCAGTTCTGCCTTTGAGCGCTAACCGTACCACGTGACAGAGCGGTGTTGAATCAGAAAGGGTAATTAAAACTTTAACATGAAATTGCTGGTGCGATAGAGAGTTGCTGGATTTCCCCCAAATCCTTCTCTTTTCAATTCTGTATGGTTTGTCCGAGTGCACTTTGCTTATCCTTGTCCGGACCGCGTTGAGGGCATTAAATGCACTGATTTAAGTAGCTTACATAATACTTAATTAAATCTTAGTCGTACAGGAAAACAGCCCTCACTTTTGCATCTCCTCATGTTGATTTATGACCTTTTCAGATATTTTATATATAGTGCATGCCTTCATGCGCAGCAAAAGTTGAAAAGGACAAGTCTTTATTTTATTTTTTTCCTGATGAGGGAGTTTCCGATGTGGCTATGCACAGCGAGGTCTTTCAGGAGCTCGTGTTGTAACTGCTTGTGAACGTGGTCCCTGATCACGTGGATAATAAACCCTACATAGCGTTTTCCATTGATCTCAGCAGGCATTGGATTAGGCGTGTGATTAAAACTTGAGTCGGGCTGTTTTGTTCAAGGTTACTCGTGGCAGCACTGTGCGAGCTCGCACGCTTGCTTCTTACAGGATTGAGCCTCTTGACCTTCGTTTAAGGAGTCAGCAAGCCTAATAACAGATCCTCTTTTAGCGCACTTTATAGAGCAAGGTAGAGTTCACTTTTATTATTCCTTTTACTATTTACTCTCTTTTGATCCTGACTTGCTAGCTTTAAGTCTAGAAAGCCCTAATCCTATTTGTCTATAGGCTAGCGAGACAAGGCTCTACCGTTTAATGTGATGAAAAAATACGTTCAAGAGGGAGACCCTGACTTGGGGTCGTGTGGGACGTCTTTAATGCTGGTTTCTAACACGGGGAGACTAAATGATGACCGTGCTCTTGTTGCCTGTTGTGGGAGTAAAAACTTCTCAGTAAAGTCAGTTTGAAGGGTGTTTCTTTGCTCGGTGCTTATTATAACTTGTTCGTAGTTGAGAGTCGCAAGAGGTCTTGAAAACGAGATAAAACAACTTATTTCACAAGTAGTGGGATCAATGAAGCCTGCCTTCCTCTGAATCTGTCTTCTGCTTGATGTGCGCTCTCAATCCTCTCTTTAACTACTCTCTTTTTTAACAAAATGGGTAGAAATGGGGTATTGCTGATGCTGGAAGTAGGCTCCGAATAGGCGGCTGAGATAAGCACAGAATACAATTTTTTTATTGTATTTAGGTGCTGAGCATGCTGGACTGCGCGTACCCTTCGCATGCCGGGCTCGCGTTTGCTGCGCGGGGGGCGAAGTGACAGTAAGCCTTCCTAGCTGTTATCCCGGGCTCTGTCCGTTTTGCTTGCTCTATAAACACAGGCAATCCCCTGAGCCGAGAGTTGTCACAAATGATTAGTGACTTACTATTTGTCATAAGGGCATGACGAGCTCTTTCTAAAGGCGCCTCCCGTTTCTTGTATCTGCTCTGCTTTTTCTTTAGCCTTTGGGGCTTTGACCGCAAAAAATCATGTCAGAAGCAAGACTGCTTGAAAGGGTGTCTTGCAATACAAACACTTAAAATCAGGAGTTGCTTTTCGAATATGTTTGGCTTATGGTGTCTCAGCTTTGCTTCTGAGCAGGTTAATACGCTATAAGGTTGCTGCACTGTGTGATTTCTTGTTCCTTAAAAAACGTGAAAAGGGTTTTGTGATCTCAACAAGAAAACATCCTTTCGTGAATCGGATGCAGTAGGAAAGAGGTAGGAGCAGGAGGAAAGTCTAAAGGAGGTATGAAGGAGGAGATGTTCAGCGCGATGCTGTGGTACGGCTTAGAGACTGATGTGTGGATGTCAAGGCTTCTCTCACACTAATAAACCTTACGTGCACCTGATCAATGCCAAGCGCACCAGCTGCCTTTTTCAAGAAAAGAGGGACTGAAGGAGGGAGAGGTGCTCTTTGGAAGGACTTTCCTCCTCTTATGTGTCAGCAGAGCAGCTCGAATGCTTCCTCGGGGAGGCGGGAGACCTGATTTTCGGACGACTTCTGTGCGTGGGCGGTGAAACTCATCTATTCCCCCTTCCTAAGCGAGCATCCTAATCGCTGGGCTGTAGGCAGGGCTGCAGTTTGCCTTCTGGCCGTGAGAGAGGAAACCTTCCCCCTCTTATTAATTCATCTAAAACTTCTTGCTGCTATTTGTATTCCTTATTGCTTGCCCTCGGCTGGCTGGCGGGAATGCCTGTGTCTTCAGCAGTCCTTGGCGACGCAGCCAGGTATACTGGACGCGTATGGGGTTTAAAGTAGAGCTTCACCCCGCTTGGGTATCGTCTTTCTGTTTTCCTTCTCGGCTCCTTTTCTCCTACCTGTCCCTGGGAACCAGTTTAAGCATCAGTAAAACGTAGCTTGCTTTATTCTCACAAAAATTACGCTTGCCGTCAAAATCTGTTAACTTAACTTGATGGCGAGGCTATGCTTTTTTCCTCGGTAAGATTAGTAAAAAATCTTGAGTGTCTGCTCTGGTGTTACTCTGCCTTCCCTATAAGGTGCTTCTGGTGCAGCGATTCCTAGCGTTTGGGGTAATGCGAGGATTTGATCATCAAAACGGTAAATAAAACATCTGCCTGCGGTGTTTGGAGCCTCTCTGTCAAGCTTTGAAACAGCTGATAGTTGCGGGCTTTCTGAAGGGACTGAGAATCGATCGCCGTGCGGACGGGCTGTGCCAGGTTAGGACTACGAGCAGCCCTCGGCAGGAGGGCTTGGCTGGAGTTTGGGGCGAGTTGTTCCCGGTTGGGTTCCAGGTCACGCGTTTCACAGGTAGCAGAGCACGTGGTGGGTAAATGAGAGATGAAAACCAGGCGTTTTGGCCCAAGCGATGTTTCTGCAGCTCTGCTCAGACGCTCCCGGGCTTTGAAAGTCTGCTGTTCTCTATCCTTTATTTTTAAACCTGTGGGCAGCAGGCACCATCTTGTTGCGTGTCTCTGCGCAGGGATTGCACCTCAGGTTTTAAATACCAAACAGCGACACAGCTGAAGTGCCTATTTATCAGCAGCTACTTCAGCATAGGGTCATTTCGGGCAACATAACCCATTTCTTCGTATTTTAACTCCGTGCGCAATTCAAAAGGACGAGCCTGGGGCAAGAAGCAGCGTGAGGAAGAAAGGGCACGTTCCTGCGGCGAGTGCGGCCAGCGCTTTTCGGTGGCCGCGTCTCTGTTCTGGGCGCTTGCCGAAACATGAAGCGAAGGTCAGGCCGGCCTGGTATCCGAGAAACACGCCGTGCAGCTGGCTTTCTCCTTTCCCCAGCACGGCCAAAACAAAAAGACCCGTGGCAAGCTTCACACCCTGTCTGCCGTGCCTCCTCGCCATCTTCTGCTGATCGCGCCCTGTCTGCCGCCAGTTGCAAATTGTACCGAGCTGCCTGCAGAAACGCTTTGAATTCTTTCTGATTAAGCGAGGCCTCGCCGCTTTGCCTGAGCGCTTGTGCAGCGCCTTTCGTTTGTGCACGTGACGGGCTGGCTCTGAGCACTTCCGAAGGTATCTGAAGCTGCGGCTGGATGCCCGCCACAGAGGAGGCTCACACGCCTGCCGTTTGTGCCCGACCGTCCTTCAGCCCTGCGCTGGCCCTCCCACGCCAACGCTGACGAAACGGCGCATGTGAGTATTCCTCATCCGCTCCGGAGCAAAGGCGGCAGTGGTTTGGCAAAGCAGCTGGCGTTGGGAGCCCGAGCAAAGCTGGTCGATGCAGAGGTGAGCGGAGGGGGGGTGTTTGCGTAAACTGTCCTCCCAGCTTTGCTGTTAGGGTGGGAACGTCTTCAGGCGGCAGTTAAGTACTAATTTTCGTTTGCAACAGCGGTTTAAGTTGCAGGTCTGGGCTTGTGAGAGACGGGGAGTTAAATGGTAACGCTTCTTGAAGCGTGGTTTAAAGAGCATTAGCAGTCCCTACCGAGCACAGCAATGCTAACTCGACTCTCCCAGGGCTGGGCAAGGAGTGTGAAAATGCCTTTAGCCAGCTCACACTCCCTCTCCCCCAAAAACTGAGCCATTATCAAGCTGGGGAGAGGGGAAGGGGCCGCATGGAGATCGATGACCCAGAAGAATCGCATGTTCGAACGCTGGTGAACAGCGAGCTGGTGGTTCAGCCTGGCGTCGGGTTCTGGGATACGGCGCTGATGCGCCTCTTCCTTTGAGGGAGAGGGGGAAAATCTAAGATCGTTTAAGATGATCGTGCCCTGCGTTGCAGTTTATTGCCCTCCAGTTTTGCATGAGTTCAGCTGTGGTCACTAAGATGATGCAGGTCAAAAAGGTCCCTGAATCAGCCTTAGCTGGAGCTGCGGTGGTACAAACAGCCGAGCTGATTCCCCAGCTTACTGCTGCCGAAAATGGGAGCCCTCGCTGTCCCCGCTCCCCACCGCGGGATGCTGGCTCTGATGTTCTCTGAGCCTCTCTGCAAGCTGATTTCAGTTTGCTAAACCAGCAGAAAACTAGCTGGTTCGCCTTTTGTTATTGTTGCTGGATTACGGAGGCGAGTTGGCTCGTGGAGGGATTGTATGAATGCTCTAATAAATAAATCAGAGGTGGGAACATGTGGGGTGGGGGACGGAGGTAACGGGAGGGAGCGAGACTCTCCCCGTTCAGTGAAGGTTTTAGGACCTTGTATCGCTAACCCGCCGCAGCTATTTCACAGTGCTGGCAATGCCATGCCACCTTCCCAATAATCATTAATTGGCAGCCGTCTCCCGAGAGGAAGATGATCGTCTTAGAAGGCCTGTAGAGCAGTTCAAGGTCTTTGTGCAGGAAGATCGGATCTGAGAGGCGCCGGATCTGCGACCTCCAGACCTGGGGGAAACGTGGGATCGGTGGCCGCTGCCTCGTCGCCGTTGTAGATCACGCGTGGCTGAGTCGGTGACGTCCCTCTTGCGTGAACGTGTGTGTTATTTCTTTAGGAGGTGAGGGGTGGAGATGTGCAGAGCTCTATCGTGCTGCGTCGCCTCCCCTCTTTCCCGCTCGGATCTGGAGGGCTCGGTTTCGTGGT